GATGTATGAAGGCTGATATTAGAGAGTTTGCACCTTGAAATCATATTCACGGCTGGTAGCCGTATAAAGTACGTACGCTGTATGGTATATGGTGTATGAATGCTGATATTAGAGAGTTAAATTACAGCGATCGAGTAAAAGGAATATGCAACGCATATATCGTTTGTTGTATTTTCATAAAAGTATTTTGCGTGTTTTTTTAAAAAATAGTTTGCGGCAAAAATTTTTTTCAAGGAGTTTTCCTTTTTAGTTTTTGCTGTTGTCGTCTGTCGCATGGGGGGGAGGGGGGTGCTTAATATGGAAAATATGAATATCAAAGGAAAGCTGTATGTTTTATGGAATGCGTGAGAATTTCTAATACGTACCTCGTTGGGTCGGTATGAGTCATTGCCCTCTCCCCTTCCCCCGTCAACATTTTTAAACAAGGAACTTTTCAACACATGTATACTACACAATCTGAGTCGCTGTCGTATTTTTTCAGCTCCTTCAACTCAAATTGTATAAAATGGAAGGTGATGGTGTGTATATGAATATAAAGTTCATATGACTACAGAAAAATGGAACAATTGTCATGGAGGGGCATCATTCATCATTTGTACGAAAACAAACAGAACGATTGTTTGCAAATGCGATGGCAAGAAGCCCAAGCCAACAAGTTGGGCAATGATTAAACATATCCAGAGGCGGGTGCACAACAGAAATTCCTGTTACAATCGTTAAAGGCAACTGAAGGCAATGGCCTTCAAGCAGAAAGTGAAAATAAGGACAGTGAGTGGTACGTGCGATATATGAAAACTAAGGTGCCTCTGCAGTTCATGTTGTAGATAGTGGAGGATGTGCTAAATATAGCTTACGAGGCACCACCATGGTTGGAGTGAAAATTTTTCGAAATTTGAGTCTCTAGATCTTTGGAAATGGCATTTTGAGACAATTTCTTGGGGAGACATTTCGAGTTAATACGGTATCTGGCATAAAGTTTAGATTAGGGGTAGCAAACCTTATCTTCTTTTTCTGGGCTCGAGGTTGCCATCTGCATAAGTTCAGTAGAAACAAACTGAAAAAGATTAATAATTACTGTTATCAGAAGAATGTTTTTCAGCATTGTTGCATTCACCAGGCGTCAATAATATTTTTCGAATAACTGTTAAGTTGTTAACACAGAATTTATGATTGAAAAGATTCTAGGATCAAATTAAAAACAGCAGTTATCTAAGCTTGAAACGTAGGCCCCGTTTACACTATACCGGATTGCTTCCGGAGTGGGTCAAATTTTGTAGCTTTTAAGTATTTCTCGCAATGCCCGATCAATATTTCTGTCCGTGCTTAGTTTACGTATATAAAACAAATGGCAAAAAATCAACAATATGTGCTTTAGCTATATTGTAGCAATGATCGTCGGTTGTTATTGAATCATAATTTGATGGTCGGTATATCCCTACTGGTTCTAATTTACAAAGTGCATCAGCTATTGAAACAGCTTGTCACAATTCAGGCAATACGGTTTCCTTAAACTCTGTTAAATCCTCTATCCATGCATCAAAGGGACGGGAACTTGTTGTAGATGGCACTGGGTTTGGATGTAAACTAACTCGTGTTGAAACGGGGAAAACTGGGGGGGGTTCGTTCACTGGGGAGGATTCGTGATTTACTTGTGGAACTACATTTTCTTGTGGGGATTCATTCACTTGTGGGATTATCACTCTTGCTCTATACGAATTTACTTGTCCGGGCTGCAATATGTCGTAACAGTTGTATATTGGGAAAATATTTATGTCAATATTTCTGTCCGTGCTTTGCGACAAATGGCAAAAAATCAACAATAGCTATATTGTAGCAATGATCGTCGGTTGTTATTGAATTATTCGCCTATTGTCTGTCAAATCTGGTTTCTCGTGAATATGGATTTTGAACCGGTCTCTGAAATCAGCATAGACAAGCGCAAAGGAAAAGATGTATTGCCAAAGTTGAAGAAAATATTGAATTTTGTTCCGACTTTCTGTTTCATGGTGCGGTTCTTTGCGCGGCTAAAGCCTGTTTCAAATGACGCATTTTGCATGTGTCGAATACAATTTTTTGAATTATCTGCATGCGAGATACAACGTCTGAAACAATTGAATTCGCCTTCTTTAATTGCGGTCGACGTTGATGTCAAATTCGACTGGTTCGGTTGCATTATGCGAGCTGGGTGCGACATGGTTTCATAGGTCGCATTTTGCATGTGTCGAATTCAATTCGCTTGAAGAAAAAGGCAAAAAACGTCATGCATGTTATGATATTGAAAGACACTCGTATGGAAATTTGCAGGCCGTAGACAAAATAAATGAACCAGAACAATCGTATTGTATTACGTGTCCAAGAAAGTTGACAAAATACATTTGCCTACCGCATCTGTTTGTAATCCGGCGTTGCACAGTACACGAGCAAAACGAAGAATCCCAAGGCTGGCTTGCTGCATGGGAAGTAGTTAAGAATATGAGGAAAATAATAGCAAGAAAATGATTTCTAGAAATATGACATTTTTGATCTACGCCCAAGCGGACTGTCGCTGATCATAAGAAATAGAGCCGGCAACTATTTGAATTCAGCACATGCGAAATGCGACGTTTGAAATGACGGTCGGATTATTGTTTTAGGGTCGAATCTAATGGGAATTGTATTCGACGCATGCAAAATGCGACGTTTGAAACAGGCCTAAGTCGATTTCAAAGATAAGAATCGTAGCAGAAGTTGAAAGCTAACAGATATATAGGCAAAGGCTGATTTTATCATTAATGCGAAGATACTTCGTGCCGCGCACATGCATTCATGATGAATTATAGTGATGTTGGCCTTGGGTGTCTTAACAGTGTCTTTTCTTAAGACATTGTCGTTTCTTAAGACAATTTAAATCAGCAAGGATGGTGTTTCTTGAGTATTTATGTAGATAAACAGACCTGTGTTTAATAGTGTGTGTTTGATATATTTCGATACGCGCTATTGCAAAACAGTATCATATTACTGTTTAGGAATATATCGCATAGCATACACATTCAATTATCAGTAACACGGACATCATGATTATCATTGCCTTCGTCTTCTTTTACTGAAAGGCTAAGCAGTTTTTCTAAGTTCTTCAAGATCGTCTTACGTAGGACTTTGTGGCATAAAGGACTATGTTCTGCAACATTACCTGCTTATATATGGCATATGGCATGCAATGATGCAAATAGCTGAGAGCATTGTTCAACATGCCATTGCCACACATTTCTCGTATTCAATTATACGATGTTCAAGTGACTTGCTTTCTTTAATATCATGATTTCAAAGTAATAAACCGGCTCACTACCTGATGATTGCCTACATGACTAGCGGTAGACTTCACGGCGTAAAAAAATAAAGTATTTTAAAACCTCCGGCGTGGCGTTTACATGGAATGCACCCTGGCCCTCGTGTACTCTTTTTATGTATTCTGTAATCTTTAATATATTGGACAACGTGATTGACAAATTATATGGACTAAGGCGCCTACTACAACTAAACTCTATGCCCCTGACAACACTTTTTGCACCTATATTGTGGCCCGATTCAGCACACAAGATCTGCCATGCCTGGGTGTGTGAACACAAACTTGAGTGAAACTTCAACAGTTCAATTCACAATGTTTTGATACAATCAATACCAAACTGGAAAAGGAAAACTAACTTACCTTTTCTTCCCTGAAAATTGCAAGGGATATAACCATATAACGAGAAAATTGCAAGGGATATAACAATATAATCAAATGAAAGCTCCAAATGAACCAATATGGCGGTGGCAGTGAACTATATAAGACCATATAAGACCAGTGCTTCCACTTTAAAAAAATCCTTTTTTACTCTTCACTTTGACCAAAATTTCCTTCACAAAATTATGAAATTTCTTTCAAATTTCCTTTAATAAAGTGTTCCTAACACCTCGTGAAATGTAGATAACAAAAATACTAATAAGAGAGTTAGGTTCGTGATTAATTAATTAATCAAAACGATTGTTCAAGACGCGAACAAGACCTTATTGCAGTGAAGAACTTTTTTAATACCACCAGTGGCGTAGCCAGCCCGACAATTTAGTCATGCTATGCTAATATTTTGGTGTTCATTGACTGTGAAAACAATAAATTTGTAAAGAAATGAATAATGATAATAACATAAAATTTGCATAGCATGACTAAATCGTCAGGCTGGCTACGCCACTGAATACCACCAGCCACAGTTTCCCAAAAATGGGAAATACATACAGAGAAGTCAGTGCATCAGCGGACGTTGCAATGCATGCCTGCGCTCTGTTCGATAAATCTGAGAAAAAGCTGCGTATTCCCAAGTATTTCACTCTCTATACGGGTCGGAATAAAATACATATTCCGACAAATATTGCAAGCCGGAATACGCCCCGGAATATCCATAATATTCCGTAGTATTACAAGCCGCAATACGGTTGGAAATATTGACAATATTCTGTAGAATATTCGAAGAACAGAAGACTCACGGAATATGTGAACGCTATACATAATTAAGTTACCCGTTTTCTGTAATCTTTTGAACTTGAAAATGAGGTCAGGATGACTTCGAAACGTCGTTCTTTAATAAATTTGTTATCGCTAACATATTTGTCCAGGACTACGTTTTGTTTGTTTTAATAATTTCTTCCTCAAGTTATCTCATTTTAAAAGTTTTACATTCATGAGGCCATGTACACAAAAAATGACAAAATCAATTGAACGCAAAAAACTATTGAAAATAACCTATTGTTAGAATTTGTAATGCCTCGGCATTCTGCTGAAGGCACAAGCGCATAAAAGAACCCATGGGTGTAGTAAACACAATACTCAATAGACTTATCACTATTTAAGGGATATTGCATGGCATTTAGCTCAGTGTTAGCTAGAGCATTGAAACTCTATCAATAGGCGATTCCAATAGTTTGTGTTTTTAGTACACCCTGTGTAGCTTCATACAACGCACACTTAGAATGTATCTGTTTCAAATTCAAAGTAGAAACATTGCCTCGTCATCTCCGATTGCGTTTATATTATTCGAGAAAACAAGGCGTGTCTGAGATTGGTTTTCGGACAAGGCGATATTTTTGTGTGCGGGGGCTTTTTCTGGAAGTGACTGAGAAAAAATAGGAATATATTTGATGAAGCTGCCGAGAAGATATGTCCCTTGTTATTTTGACCGTTGGAGGCATTTTTCGTATCCTAGTAGTTCAATAGTGCTGTAATAGACTGGATAAATAATTCACTGTCTTTGTTGTCCTTTCTGTGTAATTTTATTTCAGTTATCATATATACATATGTAAGGGCGGTAGAATGCGCTCACTGCGCGCTGATCGATGTGTGATCATTACCAAGATAGCTTCTCGTTAGGACTCTTCTTGATATTCACTTACTAAAAGTCCGTAGACATTGAGTAGAATAGCAACGAGTTTAACTTAACAGCAACTTGCCTCTCCTTCCAATAAAATAAAAACCACAATTTGATAAACTGGCATATCGATCAGCGAGCAATGAGTCGTTCCACCGCCCACTATAAGCACCCTGCTTGAAGGCCATTGCCTTCATTTGCCTTTAATGATTATAAAAGGAATTTCTGTCTTTAAGTTGTGCACCCGCCTCTGGATATGTTTAATCATTGCCCAACTTGTTGGCTTGGGCTTCTTGCCATCGCATTTGCAAACAATCGTTCTGTTGGTTTCGTATAAATGATGAATGATGCCCCTCCATGACAATTGTCCCAGTTCCTTCTTTTTAAATCTACCACCGCTCCCTTCCTGAAACTGCCCACGAACTTGGTCCTTTCCCATGGAATTAACCAACAAATCAAGAAGATGGCGTTCCTCATCTCCATTCATATTCTCATCGTCGTCATTCTCATCTTCCTCTTCATCTTCATCTTTAATCTCATCTTCATCATCATTCTCATTCTCACCTTCATCTTTATTTTCATGCCCATCTTCATTCATATTCTCATCTTTGTCTTCATCGGAAATGTCTACAACACAAGCGCGTGAATTAGTCAACATTTAAAAATTATTTATCGCAGTTATCCGTTCAATAGCAATAATGTATATATTATACTCGCTCGCCGGATATTTTCCGTTTACCGTCCGTTATTTCGCGCCCTGAACTAGCTTTAAAAAGCCTTAACATTCATGAAAAATTATCTTTATCAAAGCCAATACATCCATAACTTCTACAAAATTAGCTGAAACGAAATTCCTACCTTCCTCACTGTCCTCATTTTCACCTTCTTCTTTCTCGCCTAACTCATGTTGATCGTCATCACATCTAAAAATAGCAACTCACTGAGTGGTCCGAACATCCAGGATTACGAAGTGCCAGTGACAACAACCACAGAATTTTTTTCAATCCCTTTTCAATTTGTTTTTCATACTCACATTCCAAGAGAGGCCATGGAGTCATCCAACTGCAAGAGAACATTCATAAGACATTTAGAAGACAAATAACTAACACACAAGTCTCAAGTCTCACTTCGCAAGTGCAAGAATAAGAGTATTGTGCACAGAAAATTCAAACATATGCTCAAACTAACTGGCAAATGTCATAAATCAGTGCTTCTGTTGTGCGGCGATGTAAACAAAATGAAGAGTTTGTACCTCTGTACTTTCGCGAGCTGTTTGTTGAGCCTCTTCATCACTTTTTGCATCACTTTTTTACATCCATAAGCTACATCATTCATCAGATCAGTTATGAAAAAGTAATTTAATTGCTTGCACATCGAGGAACTTATCCATGCAAAAAAATTTTTGCCGTAAATTATTTTTTTGAAAAAACACGCAAAATACTTTAATGAAAATACAACAAAATAAATATTCTACAAAGCAAAGTTATGGAGCGAACTGAGAAGTGGCAGGGAAGGGAAAATAAAAGTGCTAAAAAGGGAGCAGAAACGGCGACGATTGCAAAATGAGCATAATCATTGATGATGGGGCAGCCGAAGCAAGAAAAGCACCCTCAAAAGGTGCAAAGATGATGCTTGGAAAAAGGAATATTTGAGGATTTATTAACATTTAATACCGTGCAAGAAGTCGATTACTAAGTTTAGCATTTGCCATTGGCAATCGTGTCTTTGTGAAATTCATTATAAATCGTATGTCTTTGCGGGTCTAATCGAATCGTATGTCTTTGCGGGTCTATATTGGCCTTTTTGAGGCCAAATAACTCGATTTTGGCCTTCCCCCTCTTGTTTGGCCTCGAAAATAAAATTTGGCCATTTGGCTACTTTTTGGCCTATTTTTGCTTTGAAGAAATTGTCTCAAAATGCCATTTCCAAAGATCTAGAGACTCAAATTTCGATTAAAAGACTAAAAGACTAAAATTTTCACTCGGCGCCAACCATGGTGGTGCCTCGTAAGCTATATTTAGCCTATCATCCACTATCTGATACAACATGAACTGCAAAGGTACCTCGATCAGAGATACATAAATATTTTGGTCAATATATACTTGTTTTTTCGATTCTGATGTTTTACTCAACTTTGTCATGGGTACGTCATTTAGCTTCTTTTGAAAAAAATGTGATTTGGCCACTTTTGACAAGTCACTACTACTATTAAAGAATTTAGTTTTCATATATCGCACGTACCACTCACTCTCCTCGTTTTCACCTTCTTCTTTCTCGCCTAACTCATGTTGATCGTCATCACATCTAAAAATAGCAACTCACTGAGTGGTCCAAACATCCAGGATTACGAAGTGCCTGTGAAATAACCACAGAATTTAATAACACACAAGTCTCAAGTCTCACTTTCCAAGTGCAAGAATAAGAGTATTGTGCACAGAAAATTCAAACATATGCTCAAACTAACTGGCAAAAGTCATAAATCAGTGCGTCTGTTGTGCGATGTGAACAAAATGAAGAGTTTGTACCTCTGTACTTTCGTCAGCTGTTTGCTTGGCCTCTTCATCACTTTCTTGCATACTCCTGAAAAAAAATTACATCCATAAGCTACATCTTTCATCCAGATCTGTTATGTTTATTTTTTAAAAAACACACAAAATACTTTTATGAAAATACAACAAAATAAATATTCTACAAAGCAAAGTTATTTCCTTGCATATCATTAAAATACATAATAGTATAATTTCTCGTGCAACTACGGATTAACAAGCACGAGTGAGTTTTTTTTAAAGGCTGCAAAATAGCGCGAGTCCGAAGGACGAGCGTTATTTGCACTGTCTTTAAAAACTCACGAGTTAATTATACTATACGAGAAATTATACAATTACCTATACTTACGCGTATTTCAGAGTCTAAATGCTTGGTATATTCCATAAAAATGACTAAAAGTATTTAGAAATTAGATTGTATATAGTAGTATTTTTATGTGGTACACACCTTTTTTTTTCAATTTCAATTTCTTCCAAGGCCACCTGGTAATGTTTTCTTCGGCTCATTGGAAAATCCAATGGCGATTTGTGATGTTTAAAATGCTTAGAATGCATCACTGCACTGTGAGAAATGAAATTATTACAATTATTATTGTACACGAATTGCTCTATTGTGTCATCTACTCAATCAAAACTTGCAGTGAAAAATAACATACGATCGCTAAGAATTTTGATAAGATAAGTTTTCACTAGTTCCAAAAAAGGACACACACCAGGTGCTGCCTTTTGCAAGAGCTGTAATCTGAAAAGAAAATTTAGAAAATGACTGACTTTCAATTTCACCCAATCGGACGAAAAAGCCTTGCAAATGCATGACAATCACACTAAACACATACCGTGGCTGGCCAGTTTGGATAGCCTCTCATTTTCACCCAAATCAGATCCCCGATATTGAACTGTTCCTTTTTGAAAGAAATTATAGAAAAATATATCAGCAATCAGGATTAAGCTAGTGTTTCAGGGTTCGTGCTACTCCTTAAAGTCCTTAAATACTACTTGAATTTGTTCTGACTTTTCAAGGGCGCTTGAAAAGCCCTTGAAAATTACAGTTTTAAAAAAAGTCCTTAAATACTCCTTGATTTCTTCAATTGTTTTGCCAACTAGTGAATCCATAGTACTAACTTTTGCCACAGCTATTTCGTGATGCAAAACATGAAAACCGGCGTAAGATCGTGCCGTAAAGTATTTGTGAATCTAAATTCGTCAATACTACACCAAGTATTGTTTTAGGAATTGGTCAGTAAACCGTGGGCTCATTCTGGGTGATTTTCCCGCCATTTTGTATGAATTTGTTTTTGTTTTACAAAAAATGAATTAAACATGCCTGCAGGAGGGAAATGCATTTTCAATTCCGACTGGATTACAGATAACACCTACAAACTATGGTTACAACACGTAAACAACGATAAACATGCAGCTTTTTGCAAGCTTTGCTGTAAAAAGTTCAGTATTTTGAGCATGGGAAAGTTGGCGTTAAAGTCTCATATGGATGGAACGATGCATAAAAAACACGCTAATACGACTTTGACGGCAACCCCTATCAACATATGTTTTATTGCAACGACAAACCAGCAAGTAGCTAGTAGTAGTGCGACTGGAAATTTTTCAGCGACGCCTGCAAATTAAACTTCAAGCACAAGAGGTAGTGAAACTCAAACTGGTAAAGCCAACCTCAGTCAAAGGAGCGGTACTAGTACTAGTAGCAATACTCAGTCTTCAAGTCTTCACCATCTTTCAACCCTCGGCAAAAAGATCACTGATGCAGAAATCCTGTGGACGTTGAAATGTGTGCATTCACATTTCTCCGCTCATGCAAACATGGGCATGAATGATTTATTCCAACATATGTTTACTGATAGTGAAATCGCTCAAGCATATTCACTGAGCGAGTCAAAATTTAGATACAAAACAACATTTGGACTTGGTCCGTATTTTTCTAAGAAACTCGTGGAAGACATAAATAAATCCACCGCCCACTCTGTTTTGTTCGATGAGGCCCTTAATGAACATCTCCAGAATAAACAATTTGATGTTTATGTGCGCTATTGGTCCGATGAAAGCTGCAAGGTAGATTCTCGTTACCTCACCTCACTATTCATAGGACATGGTAAAGCTGCTGACCTACGGGATCATTATGAAGGTGCTACAAAAGATCTTGAGCAATACAAGACCTGGCATGTTAGTATGGATGGTCCCAATGTAAACCTTGTGTTCGAAAGAGAGTTAAAGAAATCTCGTGAAGAGAAAGGCCTACCACCCTTGTTGTCTTTGGGAACATGTGGATTGCACACCGTTCACAGGGCATTTCAGACTGGTGCAAAAGAAACTAACTGGGAGTTAGATAGGTAATGTGAGACTTATAGTCAACTTATAAATACAACGCAGCGAACATCTTTTACTCTTTTTTAAATTTATTTGATTTAGATACTTGGTGAAAGAGTATAAGCTATTTAAAGACTCGCCAGCCAGACGTGAAGATTTCGTAAAGTTTTGCAACCACAGGTAGGTTTAAAGTACTTAAATTTTTCCCTATGTCACGTTGTTTTATCTTATTTCTTAATGTTGTATTCAATATTAATAAAATCTGAACTAACAGGTGGCTGGAGAATCTTCCTGTTGCTACTAAATCGTTGACCCTTCTCCCTAATATAAAGGAGTACTGCGCTCAAGCCATTATCCACAAGACGGAGCCCAAGAAGCATGACGGGTACAACATTGTGAAAAAGGCAGTTACAACAGACAAATTGCTCAAAGCCAAACACCACTTCTGGATCTCTTTGGCTCAAGATTTCCAACCCTTTCTCCAGGTTTACCAGTGTGAAAGACCTATGATACAATTCCTTGCATCTGATCTTGAGAAATTGCTCAGGGCAGTAATGGCTAGATTTGTAAAGAGCAATTTGATACAATCTGCCACTGGTTATCTAAAGTTAGCAAAGGTAACTGATATTATACACTTTATTGCTATAGATTTATGATATATAAGTTTTAAGTTTATAACATATAGGCCCTAATGTTATTATTAAGGTAGATGTGTCCTCAAGTGAGCAGACGGTAAGCAGCAATCGGGTTGATGTTGGTATTGTCACAAAGAGGGAGTTAAACAAGCTGAAAGAGGAAAAGGAAATTTCGCAGAGAGAGAAGCTAGAGTTTGATATGAGCTGCAAAGCATTCCTTTGCCGTACCACAGAAAAACTACTTGAGAAATGCCCGTTGAAGTTTGCAATTGTGAGGCACCTTAGGTGTCTTGATCCTCAAGTCATGGCAGGACAGATCGAAACTTCAGTAAAGTTATTTGAAAGGCTCCTGACATGTCTAATTGATAATCAAAGAGTACCTGAAGCTGATGCAGATTTATTAAAGAAGCAGTATTCGTCATTTGTCACTGAAGTTATTCATGGAAATGCAGCCAACTTACTCCTATTCCAAAAATATGATAGAGCTCAAGATGAACGCATTGATTCCTTTCTTGCTGCACATCTGAAAGAAAGTCCATACAAGCAGTTATGGGAGCTA